CAACAAACTGGTCGCCGCCAGAACCAGAGGAGATGAATCTTCCTTGCACTGGTTCCAAACTCCAACCCGCTCGAAGCCACACTGACCCTGCTTGGGGTTGCCGGGAGTGTTCGTCGACGCAGTTACGACCTCCTTTCGCAACGAATGCGTTCCAATCGTCGACAACCTCATCGACAAAATGGTGTATTGGGATAACTCCACGAGAAACAGGAACGCTACGATTAATTAATTATATATATTACATAACTAACGATGTATAAATAATTAATGCCATCAATTACTCGTAAACTACAAAATTACCTTCTTGTTTGTGTCGGCGATTTGTGTAGGTTTTGGAAGTCCTCCAATGGACATACAAAAGATGCAGCTTAACAGAAGATATCGTCCCGAATATATTGCTTTTGCGCAACAAATACTTGCGCATTTTCGATGGTTATACGGATTCTACTTGCGCAAACAACAACTATTGTAGAATATTTCTTGATTGAAGTCATTCGTGAATACCACAGCACTCCAACTCAACTCATCACGATCGTTTCACACGTTTTTTGGGGCCTTCGCTAGTTGGCTGCTTCATGGGGTCTTGCACTATTGGCGTGACTTCCATGGCAAATTGCTCAATGACGCACTTGTTCGTTGTGACCTTGCCGGGGGATGGGACGTACTGCTGATACTTGAAATCGGCGAATCGACTTGGTGGTACCACGAAGATCAGCTTTGGTGCTAAGGGGTGATAAAGCAGTTTTAGAGCGTTTCCCAGACCCTTTTGTTTGCACGGGTGTTTTGCCGCAACAGTCACCTGGAGTAAGATGTCTGGCTTGACAATTGCGTCCACTGACTGGAAATGCTGGTTTTTTGGACGCAAGTAGACACCGTTTGGAGCAGTGATCACTTCGTTGTCGTTGTCGAACATGACCGTTTCGTGCGGAGGGACGTTGACGATGCCTTGCGCTTCGTCGATGTCCCAGACCACAGGTGCAGCCGCGCTTCCCTCGCCCGGGTCCAAATCTTCTGCCACAACATTTTCACCCTCGGTGTCCATCGCATCGTCAGACTTCTCCTCGTCATCGCTGCCTTCGTCATAGTGGTCGTCGTTGTCCACCAAACTCGGACACACGCCGTCGGGCTGGATGAGGCGCCGAATTCGAAAGGATCCACCATGAGGCAACACCGAATGCACGTATCTTTCAAAGATATACCCGCAAAGCACACCAAGATCGCCAACTCCATTCGATGCAGCCATGAACTGTACAAGTCTGTGTTGGTTGTCGTGGCACAAACGCTTGTACACCTCGTCCTGCACATATTGCGATGCGAAATCGACGTGCTGTTTGATAAACTTGTTGTTGACTTGATAGTGGAGCAACCGATGCGCCGCTGGACATGTTGTATCGAGCTTTCCAATCGCATCGGTCACCCAGTCGCAGTTCACCACGGCAATTGCTCGTTCAAGCAACGATTGGAGGGTATCAACGAGCGCATACCGCAAAACGTAGCGAGGGACACCACCC